CCTGCCCATCTACCATGCAGAGAAGGTCTACAAATAGTTAAAGACCTTCCCACTATACCAAAGGGAATTTTCAGGTAAGTTTCCTAGTTATCCAAAAAAGAAAAAAAGCAGGCAACACAATATGCCTCTTTCCCATCTGAGAAAGACGTCTACAAATGTTGTAAATGTTTCTTTTGGCAGCTCAACAGAAGGATGCAGACAAAAAATGTTTTTGAATTTCAGCTTCTGTTAGCATTGTTCAGAAAATAAAAGCTAATTCTGTTTCGTTTATTCCACATAAGTACTTAAAAGCAATCAGTTGAAGAACTGACTTCCCAATACAACAATTGCAAATGCCCTGTAACCAGTACTTTTTATTGCTGCTTCAGCCTCATGGAACAAACCTGCAAAAAAATCCTAAACTAATGTCAACTCAATGGTCTCCCACAGATTGTACTTTATATGCTGTGCTTTCTACAATACATAAGAAAAGAACTTCAATGAAAAATAGAGCAGATTTGTAATTTCAGGTATGTGGTGGCAATTTTAATACCATTTCAGGGTGGTTTAGATGTCATAACCAGGGATTCGGGTTTTCTACTTCCCACGGGAAAAGGGGAAAAAAACACAGATTTTTCATTTTAATGGAGAAATGTGGATTTTCCACTTTTGCAAAGAGCTCTCTGAAGGCTGGCAGAGTTCCAGCCTGCAAGGGGTTGGGGGGAGTGGGAAAAGCACAATCAGCAGGGGGTGCAAAGTGCATGCGCGCACTCACACATGGCCACCAAGAAGCCTGGAGAGCAGCTCCTGAGGTTAAGTCTGGAGTGCCTGGGGGGATGGGGGGGAGGGAGGAGGAACTGGAGAGATTGAGGCCCCCATACAGAGGAAGGGAGTTGGGCAGGGCTGGGGCTGCTGCCCAGCTAGGGCAATGTATGGGGCTCAGGACCAAGACGGAGCTGTGGGTGGCACATATGAGGGTGGGGGTAGGGCATTGGCTCCCCACCAACATGCACAGTTCTGGGAGGTGGAAGGGGGAGCACATGCCCCCCAGATGTGTCCACAGGCAGCAGCTGGGGCCCAAGTGTTGTAACAGGGGGCTGTGGACCTGGGTCCCTGATCCTGTAGCCCTGGCAGCTGGGGGCCCCCTCTGGCAGGACTGGGTGGGGGGGAGGGTTGGGACTGGAGAGTGAAGGGCACCAGCAGGGATGGGGGGCTCTGGTTTAGGATTAAGGGGCCTGGACCTGTGTCTTGGTGAGCAAAGGGGGCAGGCGGAGCTTTGATTTTCCATGATAAAAAACCCAAAAATCAAATACCAAAATTTATAGGTGCTTAGAATTTATTTTATTATAGGAATAGAGGCACTGGTAGGCTTCCAAACTGTTTTAAAATTGTAAGTACATCAACAGAATATTGTGTTCAACTGATATCTATATAGAGTGGTGTTTCATTTTAATCACAGATTTGGGGTTTTTTAATTAGAGATTTTGTGGGTTTTTATCAAAGAATCTGCAGTTTTAAACAAAGAAAACCACGATCCCTGATGATAACTAATTCAAGTGGTCTAATACTGTAGATCAAGGCTGTCCAACTAGCATCCCACAGGCCACACTGCAGCGTTCCAGCAATAACTTGTTGGCACAGCTGCCATAGAAATTGCCCTGGCACAGCTCAGGAACCCAAGGGGTAAATGCTGCTTGTCCTTGTACCCCTTGCCCACCACCAAGTTCAGGGTCTTGGGTCACCACCAGTTACATGTTCTTAATCTGTATACACAAACAGCAAATGTAACAAGAAAATTTAAACAATTTCAGATCACACAGAACTCAAACAGGCAGATGCATGTTGAAAAGCAAAACAAGTATGTTCAATAAAGAACGCAATGTACCTCGTGACAGTGGCAGCAATGATTCTTTTAACTATCCTGAGATCTATTTGCAGAGAAATATTTATTCATTAAACAGAATGTCACTTTGACATCTCCGTACCTCCTTTTATTCACAGTTGACAAATAGTTAAATTATGATTATTTGACTTTATTATTAAATATATTACACATTATAGTAATGATCCAGTGATCTTAAAAAGTTATATAAAATACTGTTTAGAATGATGTTACATAATAAGGAGCTAGTATAATTAAATTTCTGTACAAAAAATATAAAATTATGATACTTTCAAAAATAACCAAAACTATAATCTGAAATAATTTGACAATAGGCTTTTAACAGAAAGTATGTTTCCCAGCCAATGATTTGGGGAACCTGTCTAATCTCATTGATATTATGAAGTTATTACTAAGCAATGTACGACACCATGAACATGCCCTTTCATACAGAATTCACTAGACTGCAAGGATTGGGTCAAGTCCCTACCAGATGAGAAACCACAGCAAAATGTTACAATCCACTACTGCTTCTGGCCTGGGTGTCTTATCAGGGCGCAACACCTTACCACAATAATGTAGCTGGGGTAAGAATCAAAAGAGTGAGAAGTTATCATATACAGAATACAGAGACACTAGCCTGGGGTGGGCAAAATATGGCCAGGTCTGTATATACTCAGACACACAAATTGAGACAAAAATATTTTTTAAAATAAAATTAAAATATATTACAGTAGATGTTTGCTTTTTAGTATGACTTTTTTTTCTGGTACCAGGATGTCAAACCTCAGCCCCCTCCCCCCTCCCCCAGAAGTACTTCCAGGGCAAGCAGAGGGACTTCGGGTGGCAAAGGTCAGGGATTAGGGGAAGGACTTCTGGTCCCAAGACAGCAACCAGGGGGCAGGGCACCTGTCAAGGGGCAGGGCTACCCTTGCAGCCCTTGACAGTTC